ACGTGTCCCTGCTGATGGCAGGGGCATTGGAACTAGATGATCTTTAAGGTCCCTTGGTCCCTTCCAACCCAAACCATTCTATGATTCTATGACAATTATTTTAGGTCACCATTATAATCAAAGGTAAGAAACATGTACCTCTAGCCCAAGAGAAGTATCTTCCCTTGGATAATTTTCATGAAAGGGATCAAATAAATTTACAGAGGTGTTCCTTTGGCTATGAAAGTCAAAGATCTAGACTTTAAAATTGTCCATACAGGTTGACAATCTACATCATGATAGGGAGTTTTCTTCAGAGATATATATATTTTGTATATATATTAAATATACTAAATTCTATTAATAAATACATAATTAATCACATATAATAAATATTTTTATATGCACACAGATATGTAGAACTGTAACTATGAAGTATTAGAACTTCATGTTATACATGTCAATATATGCAAATATAGATTATACATTTTAAAATATGGAATATAATATGGGTTTTATTACCTTTCAGGGAGTCAATCTTCTGCATCCAGTACAATGTTCGGTCCTTCATGAATGTCAAGCACTGGCCCTGGATGAAGCTGTTCTTCAAAATAAAGCCCTTGCTGAAGAGTGCAGAATCTGAGAAAGAAATGGCCAATATGAAGGAAGAGTTTGAGAAAACCAAGGAAGAGCTTGCAAAGTCTGAGGCAAAGAGGAAGGAGCTGGAGGAGAAAATGGTTTCTTTGCTGCAGGAAAAAAATGATCTGCAGCTCCAAGTGCAGGCCGTGAGTATTGTTAATGTTTTTGGCTTGTAATATCCTCTGTAAAATGATCCCAAATGTCTCAGTAACAAGACACATTACACCAAAACATTATTTATTTTAATAACTTACACATATTTTATAAAATAGGAAGGAAAACCACATAGAAAAGCTAACCTACAATCTACAATATTAATAAATTTGCAATTAATTATTGCAGCTAGTTCATTACACTTCTAAATCAAGAGAAAGTAATCAGTTTCCAGTCAGTAAATACTATAGTTTTCAGTATGACATTTTAAATCACACATGGCAACTTACAGCAGCAAATGTCATATCTTTATAAAACTTCATGTACTATATAATTTTTATGTGTTATTATCTGATCAACAAATGTAGTCTGGAGGTCCTATTAACACCTTTTATTTGGAGAATCACAAGTGGATTTAGGTGGATTTGGAGAGGCTGAGAGTGTCAGGCATTTCTCTAGCATTTATGGTCCTTGTGTCTCAGGAAAAACAGTGATGAAAGGTGAGTCCTTTATAATACATATAAATAAAATTAAAAGGTAGCAACAATAATTCTCTTAAAAGTGTCTTTATGAACAAGGATTAGGATTCATCTCACCCCATTTTGACATCTACAGTCTAAAAGTCTACATGTGCAGTAGTAGCCTCAGTTTCTCTTCATTGTCAGCAACAAGAAACTTGTGTTTTTGGAGTATGGTACAGTTCATCCAAAAATGTAAATTTTTTGGTTGCATTGACTGCATCTTGATATCATGGCAGATATCTAAATCTACATGAGACAAACCCCAGCTAAGCTATCTTGCCGAGTTCTGCCTGGATGGTATAATTGGTTTTCACTAGAACAAAGAGGAAAAGAACGAGCAGTATGTAAAAAATAAAGATTACATCCTAGTAACTTGCCTATTAGAATGCATTTAAATTCAGGTAATTTATACTGGCCTGGTAAATGCCAGTCTCCCTTCCATACTGTTCTTGGCCACAAGGGCTAGAAACATGCGTGATTCAACTACTGCCTCTGATACAGCAATCTTAACACAACATTTTGTCAAAACTAAAAATTTAATTCATGCTCAGTAAACCTTTTTGGGAATATTATAATAAGATTTTCTCAGCTGCATGTTGGCATAAAGGTATAAAACATAAATCTGCCTAGAGGGTTCTCTTCAGTAGACCTCTATGCCAGTTTACAGTCCAGTCAAATGCAAAGTAAATAAAGTAATGAAAAGATATAAGGGAGATAATGCCATATCTGTTTTCAGGCTCTGTCTTCAAATTACTGTTGGAGTTGCATGAGCAGTTAAAGAAATTTTAAAATCTCAGGGACAGAGCAAATGTTTATAGTGTGATAATATATTCTTATATTTTCTGGGCTGGAGGCAGTCCAAGACAAATAGACAATCTTATAATAATGAGTTTTAACTGCAAAGGACATTGTAAAGCTGCTTTGAAAGTAATAATTCCTTGTTCAAAATTCAGTAAGAAAAAATAATTATTTGAAAACTACTTTATTTAAATAAATAACATGCAGGAAGCTGATGGTTTGGCTGATGCTGAGGAAAGATGTGACCAGCTCATCAAAACCAAAATCCAGCTGGAAGCCAAAATTAAGGAGCTGACAGAGAGAGCAGAAGATGAAGAAGAGATGAATGCTGAGCTGACAGCCAAGAAGAGGAAACTGGAGGATGAATGTTCAGAGCTGAAGAAAGATATTGATGACCTTGAGTTAACGCTGGCCAAGGTTGAGAAGGAAAAACATGCCACAGAAAACAAGGTATGAGGCAGAACCTGTCACTTGCACTCCAGGAAAGAGCACTGTGCTGTTACAGGACTTCAGTATCTACTTCCTTTATGTATGCTTGCTCCCTTCTTCTCAAAGGTGAAAAACCTGACAGAGGAGATGGCAGCCCTGGACGAGACAATTGCCAAGCTGACAAAAGAGAAGAAAGCCCTCCAAGAGGCCCATCAGCAGACCCTGGATGACCTGCAGGCAGAAGAGGACAAAGTCAATACGCTGACCAAAGCTAAGACCAAGCTGGAGCAGCAAGTGGATGATGTAAGCACACAGGCTTACAGCAAGAACAGGCCAGGTATGGAGTTAGACGAGACTGGCAGAGCACTGATGGTCTTGTTCTGTTTAGCTGGAAGGGTCCCTGGAGCAGGAGAAGAAACTGCGCATGGACCTTGAGAGAGCTAAGAGGAAACTTGAAGGAGACCTGAAGATGAACCAGGAATCCATAATGGATTTGGAAAATGACAAGCAGCAGCTGG